GAGAGCCATTTATATTTTAGGATCCCAGGAAGGAAGATGGGGATCTGGACAAGAAAAGACTTTAATTTGGTAGCAGTTTGGAGGATGAAAGAGTGAAAAACTTTCTAGAATCATCTATCACCAGCAGTTCTGAATGTTTTTATGTTGTATCCGTGCCCTCAAATTCTAATCTCAGTCTCACCCAGTTCCAGAAGGAGAAACTACAAGAAATTGCATGCTAGTTATTTAATGGTGATGTTGATCATACACATAGGACCGTGTTGTTCCGATGGCATGTTTCCAAAAGACGTTATCTTCTCAGTCACTTTCTGAAATGAAGAAATGAGGAAGGATATTAGAGAATCGCAGTGTGCTGGAGGTTCCTTATTGTTGCTGGTACCCTGAGATTCCCCCACTTCCCTCCTTCTTCCCCTCTCAGTTCCCCCTTTCATTACTGAATTTTTTAGTTTGCTCCTTTTGGCGTCCAGGAAAAAGTGAGCTCTAAGTTTCTGCTTATACTCCGATGGTTCCTACAAAATGTTTTATACAGTGAAAACTGAAATCAGTTTGTCTATTGACAAGATTTGGTCTAAAGGAACTGCGAGAGTCACACATTGGAATAGTGTACAGTGGTTTTAAAGAAGGAAAAACCAAAAGACAGAAATCGATAATAAAAACAATATTAATATCCTGAAGATACCTATATTTTTGTGAAGTAAAACATTTTTTTTCTAAGAAATGTGTTATCACCAGTGAGGGGCATACAAACCTGCATGTGAAGTATGAAATCATGTGTGGAACATGGATTGTGTACATTTACATAAAGACAAGTATTTTGTTAAGCATGAATGTTCAAAAAAATAATGAAGGTGGGGTTTGTGAGAAGGAAGTTTGGAGGCAGTTTCAAATATAATATTGAGTTAGCTTTCTGCTCTTCTTAGCATTTAAAAGTACAGGAGACATTTATCAGCAATATGTTAAAGTCTCACTTAGTGTCTGAATGTGAGTCAGGAATTGGCAAAGGGTGGTCAGCTAGAGTCTTAAGATGGAAGGGTCACTGAGTCAGAGCACTGCCATACTTTACAAAACAATCCAGTCAAACCTATGTAATCATTGTGAAAAAAGGGAAATTTAAGTCTGTGCTCCTCAAAAGCAGAATTACTTTCAAGAGCTTCTCGTAAGCCAAGGGTTTCCAATAGTATTACTGAATATCTGAATAGAGCTATTAGAAACAGGGCCCAGAACTATGTAATTTTATCATATTTCCAGCTAATTAATTTTCACATTGTAGTTGTGAAGTGCAGAACAGAAGATCTTCCTAGTCAGTAAATGACTCATACCATCATTGACATCTAGATTACTGGGCTGGTTGGTGTTGAGGAGATCCTTGTGGACTGCCCCATTGGGAAGGTGGTGATCCTTCTTGGTTTCCAGGAGGGGGACTCTGAGGACCCACAAACCAGTTTGATTCCCATAGGTTTCCATGGCCATGATAGGAAGGTTGCCATCTATTGCGTCTAAAAGGATAAGGTCCTTGTTTGTTCCCAGGAGGAGGAGGAAGAAGAGGAGGTCCCCGCTGTTCGCATCCTTGTTGGGATAGACCTTGCTGGTTATCACGAGAAGGAGTGGGAGGTTGTTGATCACCTGCTTGCTGTGGTGGTCCCTGCTGTGAATCCTCTTCATCTCTCTCATCAGTAGAAGGTTTAGGAGGGGGAGCCTGAGACTGCTCTTCGGAGTTCTGGCTTTGTTTTTCCTCTCCTGTGTGGGGAGGGGAAAGATAGAATAGATGAATACAGTTGGGGAAGATATTTTATCATTTTCCTTCTCTCACTGTATCACACAGTCCTTTCTCCTAGAACCTGCCTTTCACTGCCACCCTTCCTGTTACTGCTTTCACTGGCTTTCCTTCACCCATAAACTGATGATATGAAATGTTTCAGATCTGTGTCCTGGGACAAGTAAGGGCCTGTTACTTTGTCAAATAAAAATATCAACTACTAATAAGATGAGGATACTTTAAATTTTAAGATATTTCCAAAGACAAGGGGAAATAAAGCCAGTGGATTTTAATTTTGATGTGTTGGCAGCTAGATATCTCAACCCTGAATAGTTTTTAACAAGAGTTAGATGCCGAGGACCCTATTGCTGCAGAGAAAAATACTTGGAGCCTGGTGAGAACACAAAAGATGGTTTATACAGGATTTTCAGAATATTTAAAGCACTATTTAAACAGGGAAGAGGGCACAGTTGAGTAGACAACATAGAAAAGAATTAAAGACAAGTAATTTTGCCCATTTGTCTAAGAAGCAGTATAACTGTAAAGAGGAACAATGGGGAAGAAGGAAGTTGGAAGCCATTCAGCCCCTCAGTACCACTGAGGATCTGAGATTAGATGACTTCCAGCTTGTGTTTCATCTCTCAGTAGTCATCTATGATTGGGGCAATAGCCACATATCTCCTATTTTCATGAAACCAAGCCCCTCCATTATTTAAGTTGGTGGCTCTGACCATGGTCCCCTATATCAAGGATGGGGAACCTTTTACCTATGTCTTTAGGGAAAGTAACATCACTCATTCTTTAGACTAATGATGATGACAGGAAGGCTGGGGAACTGGTATACAAGAGGAAATGAAGTACGTCTGTTGAGGATGAATTAGGCTTTACCTCTTACTATGGAAGAAAAATCTTCATAGATGACCTCTAGGAAAGAAAACACATAGTGAAGTGAGAAGTTAAGTCACCAGTCTTTCAGAGCTCACAAATGTGCTGTAGTGAAAGGTGACTTCCATCTACAATCTATGCAACCGGTAAATGGGCGCCTCTGCCACTGTGAGATTTGCCAGAGAGGGGTGAAGACGAAGGAGGTGGCAGAGTTCCCAGCATGCTTTCACCCACATTCCCTGAAAAAACAAAAAAGCAGTTTTTGTCCTCCTTATTATCCCATGCCTGTAATGCCTGTGGATGCCAGGTGCAGGAGGGTATTAGATCCCCTGGAACTGGAATTACAGACAGTTGTTAGCCCCCCATATGGGTCCCCCAGGTCCTCTGCAAGAGCGACCAATGCTCTTAACCTCTTATCTCTCCTGAGCCATATTCATGAATTTTCTGGAGTTAAAATCTAAGAATAAACGTGTGTAGTATCTCAAATATTATTTGAAGCACTTAAAATAGTGAATATGGATGAGAATAAAACTCCTAAGCTGGGTACTTTTATTTTTGTCTCTATATTCAGAGAGAGGTAAGTTTCTCATTTGATTTTTTGTCTTTGAAGCAGTTGAAAAATGCCTTGATTTCCTTCATCTGTCCTACATCTACTCTATGGTAAGGCTAGTGACAGCCTTACTGTCTAACTTACAATCTAACTTTGATTATGACAAAGTCCTCTCTGGCTTTCCTTATATCTGTCTTTCCATCTTCATGCATCCTTTCAGCATATAGAGATCATTGTACAAAAAAATTACTTAATTTGCGTTCCTTGGATCAATATTTTTATGGAATTCCAGTCACGCACTAAATGACACGGACCTGATGTGTCAGGAGGCCTTAACTGGTCTCACCTTTGCATAAGACCTCTGCAGGCAGGTATCATCTATTCCCTCCATTCCCCCCCCCCCTACTGTGCAATGTCTCCCAAACTACAACAGAGTACATTCCTACCCTAAGTTGGCTTATACCTTCATCTAGGTTCTGAGCTGAGCTCAGAGTCAGCAACGCCACTGTGAGCAGGACCACCAGCATCTTCGAGGAAGCTCTAGAGTTGATCTCCAGTGTGTATTGAGGAAGCAAGGCAGCTCCTTTATAAGGAGGAACAGAACAAGGGCACTTTTGTGCCCCAACCGAGTGATCTCACACCCAATAGAATGCCATCTGTGGTTCCAATTTGGGAATCTAGCCCAGCAGGATAGGGTGAGGAAGAAGTTATCAATGTGTCTTTTCTCAAGGGTCCAAAATGTGACTTGGGCAAAGATATTGAAGGAATACTGTCCCAGCAATCAACTCAAATACTAGAATCAGACAAACAGTTTAGATGAATATCCTGAAGAGTGTTAAAGGAGGCTGCCATGTGCTTTCCATTGCAAAGCACCATGAACACACAGTTCCTAGAATGAAACTTCTTTTCTTCCTCTAAGTCTTCTTCCAGGCTTATTCTCCTTTCTAACATTAGTTATCACTCTTTGTTTTTGTATTATTTCTTCTACAAAATTTTTATCTCCCTGAAATTAATATTAAGCTGCTCCAAAGTGGACTTTCAATTCTCTATGACATTACAGTTCATGTTCTATTTCACACCCACACTTTATCTTCTTCTGTCAGATTGGTCTCCAACACAGAGGATTTTATATGTATCCAGATGATTCATTTAAAATAATTGATTATATTTGATTTCAAAATATTTTCCCCTTTACATACTCATGTTTGTGTATATAATACAAAGCACATACAGACACACATCAAAAATATCATCCACCATGATTAAGTCAGCTTCATTCCAGAGATGCAGGGATGGTTCAATATATGTAAGTCAATAAATGTAATAAATTATATAAATGGGCTTAAAGACAAAAATCACATGGCTATCTCAATAAATTCAGGAAAGGCCTTTTACAAAATCCAAATGCATTCATGTTAAAAGTTCCACAGGGAATTGGACTGGAGGGAACATATCTCAACATAACTAATGCTATATATAAAACATAATTACAATCAACACCATTTTAAATGGAGAAAACCTAGAAGCATTCCCATAAAAATCAGGCAAAATGGTCCACTATCGCCACTCGTTTTCAATACAGTGCTTGAAACTCTAGCTAGAGTAATAAGAAAAGAGAAGGAAATTAAAGGAAATAGTAATTGTAAAAGAAGAGGCCAAATTATCACTATCTGCAGATGATATACTATATATAAGCTATCCCAAAAATTCCACCAGAAAACTGCTAGAAATGATCAGTACTTACAGAAAAGTACCAAATCAATTTACAAAAATTGGTAGCCTTTCTATCTACCAATAACAAGCAATCAGAGAAAGCATTCATGGAAACCCTCTCATTCACAATAGTCTCAAATAAGTATCTAGGGTAGAAATAAACCTAACCAAAGACATTAATGACCTCTACAATGAAAAATTTAAAAATTAAAAAAAAGAGATAGAGGAAAACACCAGGAGATGAAAGGGCCTCCTGTGCTTATGAGTTGGTAGAATTAATATTGTGAAAATGACACCCTACCAAAGAGACTGAGGAAGACAAAAGAGATGGAAAAGCCCTCCCATACTTTATAATCAGTTTCGATATAAGCTGCGTATATGATGGTCTTTTCTTTTTAAAAAAGTATTTTCTAAGCATAAGCATATTCTCTAATACAAATAGAGAATAATTGTTAAATTCATGTGATTTAACACTAATATATTACATTTTATTTAGTATGTAATATGTAAGAGGAAGAATTCACACACCTGGCACTTCATATTTGTGAAAATCGCAAAATAGGCATTGATAAATTCTTGACAGCTGTTAATAGTTCCAGACATGGACAGCTGTTATAAATTATGTCATGCTATATCTATGTATGTGGTCATTATTTTTCCTCTGTATCTTCAGCAAGATGTGCAATTTATGCTATATACTAGGTAGTAAATGAAATAACAGTGTTTAAATAAATGACTATGAAATGTATAATTTAGATTTGTTTATTAAATATATAACTTGGTAGTTTAACAAAGACAGTTATAGTATGTAGGATTCATGACAACATTATGAATACTGGCTAAATCTAAAGTAAGTTTATGTCTTATTTTCAAATACAGAATGTATTTATCATTAAGCAATACAGCTGAATTGGTAATAATTGTGCTGTGCTGACAATAATACCAGGATTTGAAATGTTCTGTTTTTTTCTGTTGTTATTCCACTTGGGTTGTGATGACTATTTAATTCCTTTCTATTTTATTATCTATAATCAATTTTCTTCTGCATGGCATAGGAATTAAACTGCTAAATTTTTATTAAATGATTTGTGAACTCTATATCAGTGTTAAATCTATTCATTCACTTAAGTGTGAACTTAATCTGAGTTAAGACTATGAACTGGGGATGGAGAGATGGTTTATTGGTTACTGGCTGCTCTTTCAGAGGACCTGGGTTCAAGTCCCAGCACCCACATGGCAGCTAAAAACCATCTGTAACTCCTGTTCCGGGGATCTGACGCCTTTTTCTGACCTTCGTGAGCATTGCACTACACAGGTGCACTTACATACATGCAGGCAATATACTCATACACATAAAATAAAAATAAGTATTTTTTAAAAAGAGTATGAACCAATATTTTAGAAAATGTAGTGAAATTTAGCATTCATTAACAGAAGAAAAGAACTAGGTGATTACAATTGAGGATTATTATAAATATTAAGGAGTGTTTTTCAGATCCTCTCTTCTCTGAATGTGAAGTTAGTCTTTCTTCATCTTAATCAGAGATGGCCATGCATGGGCTGGGTGCCTGTGCAAGGAGAGGCCAAACTAGGGAGCATCTGATCAGTTTATGTAACCACATAGGATGCTTTGAATCAGATGAAGATCTAGATGAAATGGAAGCATTGTTCCTCCAGTGAAGTCAGCAGGCTCCACGTACACACTTTAGAATACTGACTTTATTATCTATTGTGAAAGTGTTATCTAGCCCATTCACTTACTAACTTCTTTCAATAACGGAAATGATTAAAATTTATCAATGTACCATAACAGAACAAATTTCAGGAACAGTTTAAACAACAAAAACATCATGTGTAGAAGAGTCATATGAACTCCTGGCAAGGATGAAAGTCAAGATTCAAGGAAAGGAAAGAGCACACCATGGCTTAGCATAACCAGCCAAGCTGCCCAAGTGATCTAACTTTAAGCTCAGACTCTACTCTGGTAATCCAGTGTTCTTGTTTTTTCATCTCGAATATTAGAAAATTTGAGTTCTTTTCTTTAAATAATAGTTATTAAGTGGTGTCTATCAGGTGCATCATCTTAAACTGAATCCTTTTCAGTTGCCGTAAAGATGGGGCATAATGGGTGTTAATGTCAGCAGAATTTAGTCCTGTTGTCAAGGACTTACATGTCTATCAATTAAGAATGCTTTGTTTCTACAAACATTACATAATGTAATATAGCTGAATATATATAAATACATCATTATGACTTTAAACAAAATCTAACAAATGCACTTAAATACTTACTAATTATAAAAATCAAACTTTTCTATTCCTAAAAAATACATTTCCTGTCTTTCTTTAGATTTCTTGTTTGTTATTTTAAAATTTTTGCTGAGATATTTAATTCATTTATTTTAATCACCTAAGATTTACCTTCTTCTAGAATGAAGTAGGAATTTGATTTTATTTTTTTCAATTAATGAATAGCTTTCCTGAGATAATATTTTTATTTTTCTAATAGTGTTGATGAATATGCAATATCTATCAATTTCTCCTATGTACTACAAATCTTTTCTCTGTTATTTTCCCCCCCCTCACTGTTATAATTCATATTTTATTAAAATAAGCTGTAAATTTATTTCTAGGTTTAGGATTTTATCTTTACAGGCTTGGAAATCATTTATTCTTTTAAAACAATATTTTATTTATTACTTTTATTTTAGTGTATGAGTGTATTGCCTACACAGGTGTGAGTGCACACATGTCATGTAGTGCCTTCAGAAGTCAGAAGAAGGTGTGGATTCCCCTGGAACTGGTCTTATGAATGGTTGTTAGCCACCATGTGAGTGTGGGAATCAAGGCAAACTCTTTAACTGTAAGCCCCTATAAAATCAAAAGAGAAGTTACATACTTCCAGCATACAATGGAATGGAATACACATACACACTCCAAAAGGGAGGGATGGAGTCATACTGAGGAAACACAGGACCAAAACAAGATAAAAAATCAGGAGGGAAAACACCAAATCAAGTAACTCTATGTCCAACTTCTGGTACTTTGCTTCCAAAGGGCTTAGAAAACTCAGCCCCTAAGCTTTGCTGCATGCAGCATACATCTCTCTCTTGGGCTGGTACCACACCCTGTATGCTGCTTTCCTTGACAGATGTCTCATGATTCTAGCATCTTGTGGTTTCCACTGCCAATCAGGCTTCATCTTCACAGCTTCACACAATGGCCTGTCGGGACCTCGTGACCTGTCAGGGCCTTCATTATGCAGGGAAACCCCTGCTGCCTGACCTCTGTGGCTTTCTGAAACTCTGGAGGAACCAATGATAACTTCAGATCTGCATCTTTTATGTTTATTTTTTAAATTGAATTTTTGTGTATTTCATACAGAATATCTTTTTTTGGGGGGGGGTCTTTTCGAGACAGGGTAGCCCCAGCTGTCCTGGAACTCACTATGTAGACCAGGCTGTCCTTGAATTCACAGAGATCCACCTACCTCTGCCTCTCGAGTGCTGGGATTAAAGGCGTGCGCCACCATGCTCAGCCACACAGAATATCTTAATCAGCTTTATATCCTCTTCCTCAGTGGCACCGGCCCACAGCCGAACCCTAGAGTTCATATAATCTGTCATTTGTATTAAGGCTTATCATGTCAAATTAGAATCCTCAGATGGAGGTCCTTCAGTGGAAATTCATCCACTGGGATCTAGTCAGCCTATCTAGAATCACTATCTTTAAAAAGATCAGCTCTTTCTCACCCAGCAGTAATTATCTACCAATAATTCATTGACTAAGATTGGGACCTGTTGTCAATTTCCACA